GGAGGTGATCATATTACATTTCGTCACATAATAGTAAAAGATGTTCAACAAGAATTATGCTTTGGATATGATGTACACCTTGGCTCAGACGAACCAGCTCTCGGACTTGTAATAGATGGTGCCACATGTGGGCCTGGAAAATTTTGTGTTGAACAGAATTGTACTTTTCATGCAGACATGGGTTATGATTGTGATGTCAAGACATGCAATTTCAGAGGGGTGTGCAACAATAAGAAACATTGTCACTGTCAACGAGGGTGGAATCCACCAGGATGTAACCAAACAGGACCAGGTGGTAGTGTGGACAGTGGCCCTGCACCTGACAGAGAACCAGAAGTTCGAGGAAAAGTATCTGTTACTATAAACCACGCCATAGTGATACTGTGTATTCGATTTGGCCTTTTACTGCTTGCATTCATTTTGGGTTGGCTTATATACTTAACTGATACTGAAGATAAAGGTGAAGATGATGATAAAAGAAGGGGTAACAAGTAAACTGGTAGAGAAACAGAATCCCCTGAACTTTAAACGCTAACTGGAACCTACACAATGGAGAAAAATCACATTGGCACTTACTGGGAGAATCGATCAAGAATCACTCTGAGAATGGCATCATCCTACAGCTATTCATCCCAAGGTTGTCATCTTGAAATAAAATGACTTGGAAATTGAAAAACATTCTGTGTGTTTCAGTTCACTTAACATATCATGTGTGGCCATATTGTTAAAATTCCTGTAGATGCCAGTAGGACCTTTTAGATTCGCTAGCCAAAGGGCCTGTACTCACTTAAGATGTTGGCACTTACGTCTTGGAGATGCTCCTGTAGAAGATCTTGTGGGCAGTGGTGTGCCCTTTGTTATAACAGTTTTGCCCAATTGGTTATGTGCTAGATTTTTGTTATCTGTTCATTTTATTGGTAGTGTCAAATAAGCATAAAGAGAATCCCTCAGCACACAGAGTAGGAAGATCAAAAACTTCTGTGTCATAGGCCCGTGATGTCAACAGTAGTGCTAGCACCTGCTCTTTATGTGATCTTGCCTGAAGTCTTTGAAGTTTACATTTTCAAGGTCCACAATTACATTTAGAGAAGAAATAGATTTTTCTAAGGTTGTGTGATGATCAAAAAAGCCTCTAAGCCCAGCTGGTGTGTCTCAGTGGTTGACCCATGAACCGGGAGGTCACAGTTTGATTCTCGGTCAGGGCACATGCCCGGGTTGCATGCTCGATCCCCAGTGGGGGGCATGCGGGAGGCGGCCAATCAGTGACTCTCTCTCATCATCGATGTTTGCCCCTCTCTCTCCCCCTTCATCTCTCTGAAATCACTAAAAACATTGCTTTTCTGTTTTTCTTTTTTTACCCCCAAGAAAGCCTCTAAGAAAAGCCAGCCCAATTTAAGCACTTACAGGCCAACTCTTATCATTTTTGTTCTTCTTCGGTTGTGCTAAAGCTGGGGTATTCCAAGTATGATGAGTTCAGCATCCCTCCTTATTGTAAAGCTTTCACATAAGGAAGGGGCCACTGATGACTGATCCATCATTTCCTAAGGCCTCGGGTTATTGTGTCATAGTATCTCACATTCAAAATCACGGGAATTGACTCATCACAGCCTGTCCATAAATTACAGAATGGCACCGACTGTCTGACACATAGGGTGTTTCCGAAAAAGTGTATATACATTCTTGAATAATTATAAAGGCCGTGTTTTATTAAAATACATTTAATATTCCAAATTGAGCTATGGGCTGTTAAAGTGTGTATACGTTTTGGGGGGACACCATGTATATATGAAGACAAAATTTTAGGTAAGAGGAAACAGGAAGCGGTCACTTCAGAAACAGTGCACTAGAACAGAGTCTGACAAGTGGTGTGTTGTGTTTGTGCTATTTAGATGCCTCAGGCCAAAGATTACATCTCTTTCTGAAAATATGGGATGCAGATGAGGCCAGCCACCAAATGGTGGAGGAAGGATGCAGCAGTGGAGAATCGGTAGGATCGCCAGTCTGTGACACTGTACCTTGTCCATCTTTTATAGAGCTCTCATGGCCAGCACTTTGTGTCCGGTTGGCTTCTCTGGACGAGTGATCTGGACCTTCATCCATGATGGGTCTGAGCCCCTGCTTCCTTTACTCTTATCAAATATGGGCGCTCCATCAGCAACTGTCATCAGTATCTCCTAAAATCGAGGTTGGATGAACATTTACCAAAAGGGTTATTTCTTGCTGATCCATGGGCAATTCTTGAAACTAGCCTGTCTTCCTAGAGGAGGTAGAAATTCTGTTTCTGTTTCAGCAGCCTGTTTACCAAAGCATGTTAACTCTGGGCCTTGTAACGTTTTCCCTCTTTTTTTCTCCACTTTCTCAATACTGGTTCAAATCCTCACTGATTTGTTTTGCATTTGTTAAGGGCCTGTTGTTTCCCTCAGGCTGTTTAATTTGTACTACAGTAGGTTTGACTGTGTGTGTGTGTGTGTGTGTGTGTGTGTGTGTGTGTTTTCTTTAGTTACCATGATCTCTCCAAAAGTGTGAAGTAAGATTTTGACTCAAGGATGGGTGTCGTCTGCCAGTCTACAATGTTTCTAAATAGCATTGACAATTCAGGTTATATACCATGACTTCTAAAGCGGTGGCTGTGTCATGTTAAGGCCTAACATGTGTATTCCTTAAAAGTGGTTTCTAATTGGTGCCAGATATTCAAAACAGATCCCTTACAGCCTAGACAACACAGCTAGACTTTTCCCAGTTAATGTAAGAGTAGAAATGCTCCGAGTTAGCCTTAAATTTCGTTTAACCCTATTTGTAGGGCTTTGGCATATCAAGAAAGGGTGAAGTTCCAGGACAAAGGTAAGGGAGAGCTGAAAAAGGTAAGGAAGAGGGGCAGAGGGGCTGAAAGAAAGAGAGGGATCAGGATAGGAGGGAGGTGAGAAAGGAGTAGGGCTATGAGACACACAGTCACAGAGGTAGACAGGAGGACAACGTCTTTGGGAGGGAAAGAAGGCTGAAGTTGTTTAAAAGGAAGCCTCAAAGCCTTAGAATTTGTTCAAAATATTTCTTTCTTTCNCTTTCCTTTCCTCCCTCCCTCCTTTGGACCAACCGAAGTAAGCGGCCCGTGGTGTGATCACTGTTCTAATACCCTCTCTTCTAAGGTGGCACGCTACACAAGTGTGACCTGCCCAAGAAACCAAAGGGCCCCTGCAGTTCAAGACTGTACTTCCTGAAATCATGACACTTTCAGAAGAAGGNCTTTGTGGCACACCACAGAGCTAGCACAAATCTGACCAGGGGTTGGGCGGATTACGGGTTTCCCCTAGTTAAAGAGGACTGACATAGAAGGAGGGACTTGCCCGACCTTACAGTAAGCCTGATTCTCTGCTCATCCAAAGGACTCCAAAAAGCAGGCAAATACTGACATGACTCTGGCAGAGGGTTGACCTGCAGAAGAGTGGCAGCCTANATACTGACATGAGTCTGGCAGAGGGTTGACCTGCAGAAGAATGGCAGCCTGCAATCTCCATGCTATAAAAAAGAACAGAGACCAGGAGGAGGACTTGCAGCCCCACCCAAGGAAGTTAGGGTTCTTTGATAGGTGCTGTTCTTGACCCAGCCACCCAGTGTTTGGGGTTTGCCCAACCTTTCTCATGAAATGGCACCAAGTTATTTTAAAAAACAAAGACGTACATGCATCAGATAGAGGTTAAAGGCTTCATTTGGTTGAAGCCTATCAGGGAATGCCTGAAGACCAGGCGGGAACCAAGGTCAGGGTTCTTCTAAGATGGAAAGAATTTGAATAACCCACCCTTGTTTTAACTTCAGTGGCAGTTTCCACCTTTTGCAAAACTTGTGGATGGGGGTGGTTCCTCTTTTCCTGCCCCTTGTTTGGAGTCCCAGTAACCAACAGAACAGTATTTCTGACAGCTGTTTCTGTAAGCCTTGCGGCACTTTTAGGTGGTCATGGGGTGTAGGAGGTATAAAGCCAAAGAAAGAAAACGGGGCAGAGTAGAAGGAAGGTAAGGGGAAATGAGAGGACTCTCTGTATTATTTGTTGAAAATCTTTTGCTCCTTTATCCTTGAGGGGTCTGAGGCCTTCTGGGTCAAGTTGGCTACACAGGTCCATTCCGAGTTACCATTGCCCAAGGGAGTTCCACGTGGCTCCCAAGTGAGTCACCTGGATTCCACATATAATCCTCCATGGCTGTACCGAGGTTCAGCAGCAGCCGTTCCCTCCCCTGCTACTCAGAATCAGTTAGTACTCTGTCCAAAATGGCAACTCCCCTTCTCACCAGCTGGACACAAGATGTGTGAGGTGCCCTGATGGCACCTGTAGCTTGCAATTCTGTGGGACTCGTGCCATGTCCCTGGCAAAAGCACATCCCCTGTGGGCCAAGACCGGTAGCCCTGGAGACTACACAGGTGCAGGGAGGGCAGCGGAACAGCCACCAGTGGGGCAGTAAGAGGAATGGAAACTGGGCCACCCAGCTCCTACTCCTTGGTTCCTGGTCCCATGTGTTCTGCGTAACGGATGTACAGCACCACATAGCGGTCTCTGATTTAACACAGACACTGCACGCCGAAGGAGGGCGCTCTGTCCGTCCAGAGTAGTGTTTCAGGGCTGGCATTTTGGCCATGTCTTCAGTAGGCTCTCTCACACACTACGAGGGTAGGTGCTACTAAAAATTTGATAAGCGATGCAGACTGTGTATTCCCTTGGGTGGGCCCGTTCCTGTACCTCATTCTCTCAAGGGTGAGTTCTCTGTTTTCACACTCAGTCGTGTGGGATTCCGTTTTTAAAGATCACACATCTCACCAGGAAATCCACTTATTCTTCCCCTGGGTGTTTTCCAAGAGACCAAGGGACCTTTCAGTGCAGGCTCCCTGGATCGCTGAGCACAGCCTCCCCTAATGAATGCACCATTGTTATGTAATAGCTGCCCCCTCCCCGCCCCACCTCTCTGGGGGTGCCAGACCTCCAGTCTCTCTCTGCTCTCCTCCTGACTACACAGCTGGGAAAGGTGCTGTTGCAGTTTAGTCTTGCCTGCCTCCCACTTGCCTGCAGTTTCTTTGGTCACAGGCTGCCTCACTCATGGGGCCTGCCTGGGCCCAGGCCCACCTGACAGGTGATCTCTGGCTGCCTCTACTCTGGCTGCTCCTGTCCCAGGTCTGCTGTTTCCATGCCCTGCCAGGATGGCGCTTCACTTCCTCTGAAATTGTGATCCCCAGGAAGGTGTCCCACAGGGTGGGTGGAGCTGGGGTGCAAGACCAGCTGTCCTACAGAATTCACTTCAGGGGCCGTAGGCTTGTGGTTCACATGAAGGTCAAGAAGAACTTGCTGCCCAGACAGTTTCCTGTTATCACCGATAACGACCAAGGTGCGATGCAGGAGGACTACCCCTTTGTCCCTCGAGACTGCTACTACTACAGCTACCTGGAAGGAGTGCCCGGGTCCATGGGCACGCTGGACACCTGCCGTGGGGGTCTGCGTGGCATGCTGCAGGTGGATGACTTCACTTACAAAATCAAACCACTGGAGGATTCTTCCAAGTTTGAGCATGTGGTTGCTCTGNGAGGATTCTTCCAAGTTTGAGCATGTGGTTTCTCTGCTTGTGTCGGAAGAACAGTCAGCAGAGAATGAAAGGTGTAGGATTGAAGAAGAAGATGGTGATCTAGCATATGAAGAGGCAATGGTTGCTGAAAACCCTAGAGCTGTGCCCGTGTATTTGTGGTGGACCCATAAGCAATACGTGAAAATTCACTATACAGTTACTAGCTCATTATACTCGATGTCCCGTAATATTACACGGGTAATAGAGAACGTGGTGATGATAAACAACATAATGCATACCATTTATTTTCACCATCAACTAGTCATCCACATACGCGTTATATGCATATGGCAACGTAGGGATCCTATGGACGTAACCCGTCAGAATGCTCAGAGAATCATAAAACAGTTTGGTTCGTGGAAATTTTCGAAGTTTTTTCACGAAATTCCTCATGATACTTCATTGCTTCTTACAGGACATAAATTGTCTGGAGGTATATATCTTAGCCACCATGATGGAGTATGCAACCCCAACTGGGGGGTCATGGGTGTATTTGTGGCACGTTTGCATATATTTTTAGCTGCCTCTGTTTCAGCACATGCACTTGGTCATGGTTTGGGCATGGGACATGATGAACCTGGTTGTAGATGTTTTCGAAGGACCTTCTGTGTCATGGCTCCTAAGCCGGGTCTTTTTGATATGTTTAGCAACTGTTCTTATGCCAGATTCCAGTTTTGTCTGTCTATCTTTCCCTACTGTCTGATTGATAAAAATGTACCATATGGTAATTTTCCTTATATAGCTCCTCGTTGTGGTGACCAGATCATAAATAAGAGGGAAGAATGTGACTGTGGCACCTTTAGAGACTGTGCTAAAGATAAATGTTGTGAGACCAATTGTGCCCTCTCCCTTGGCAGTCAATGCAGTGGAGGAGGTTGCTGTTTGAATTGTAAACCTGCTAAACCTGGATGGATTTGTAGGGAGAGGTCTGGCATTTGTGATCTAGCAGAATACTGTGACGGGAAAACGGCTCTTTGTCCAGAAGATGTTTATATCCAGGATGGAACCCCGTGTTCAGGATTAGCTGTTTGTGTGAGAGGAAACTGTAGTGACCGTGATATGCAGTGTCAGGCCCTTTTTGGCTACCAAGTAAGAGATGGTTCACCAGCGTGCTAT